TCACATGCAGTGAACTCTGAGACCGTTTACCTTTTTTCTTATAATTAGTTTATTTTATTGTTGGTGTTGTTTTGCATTGAAAAAGTCTTAACTTCTATTTTGAATTGTTTTAGACCAAATTCGTTATCTTTATAACGCGTCATTGTCTTATATTTCTAAATTCTTTGACATTCTACGTCACCATCTACTTTAAAAAAAAACATGCCTGGTGGTAAAGGTATGTATTAAAAAATTATTCTAATGTGTTATTTTCTTATTATTTTATTTTTCTTTTGTTTCTAGCTGGTAAAGATCATGGAAAAGCGAAAGCAAAAGCTGTTTCTCGATCAGCACGTGCTGGTCTCCAGTTTCCCGGTATGTATAAATGCAATCTTTTTTGAACGAGTATCTGTAAATTTCGTTTTCTCTAGTCGGTCGTATACATCGTCATTTAAAATCACGAACAACAAGTCATGGACGTGTTGGTGCAACAGCTGCTGTTTATACGGCCGCTATTTTGGAATATTTGACAGCTGAAGGTAAATAGAATAGAAAAAAAATATTCTATAATAGTTTAACTTTATTTTTTATTCATTTAGTTTTGGAATTGGCTGGTAATGCGTCAAAAGATTTAAAAGTGAAACGTATTAATCCAAGACATTTACAATTAGCTATTCGTGGTGATGAAGAATTAGATACATTGATTAAAGCAACAATTGCCGGTGGAGGTGTTATTCCACATATTCATAAATCATTAATTGGTAAAAAAACACCAGTACAAGGTGGAAGTGTTCCACCACCAGTTAAACAACCACAATAAAATCAATAACATCATTGTCGTCTATTAACAATCAAATTTAGTTTTTAAAAAAACAGACACATTAGTATTCTTTCTTCTATTCTCTCTATGTTAAAAATTTCTGTTTGTGTTTTATGTAAATGGAGAGAGAAGTTGAAGAACGTTTGTTTTCTCTTGTAAATAAACACATAATGGTACACATAGATAAAATGATGAAATATTATTTTTTTTTTTTCTGTTTTTTTTTTTATTGTACTACAAGTTTGTGTAAATGTATTTGCGAGTTTGCCATTGCATCAATGACAACCGTTGTAGCCATTCTATTCAGTTTCTTTTTCTGCACTAATGGTGTATGTGATTTTTTTGTAAGGGAGTGAGAGCTAGAAAAAAATTAGGCAAAATATAATTAAAAAAATTGAAGAGAATGTGTGTGTGTGTGTGTATGTATGTTTTTTCGTTCGTGTTCAAATGACAATGTATAAAAAAGTAGAAATATATGCAGACATTTTTTTGATTTTCCTGTTTTCTTCATATTTCTCATCTTGTGTTTTGTTGTTTGCTTTTTGCTTTGTTGTATGTTTAACGCAATTTATATACATGATAAAATAAACTAGACAAATTTATAATGTATCAAAAAGGCAATTGTTGCAAGCAATGATTGATTGTTACAGCCTTCTCGAGATTATAAACGGCTTTAAACTCTATTCATTTGTCCAACATTAGTAGATTGTAAACTGTTCTTTATCGTACAATGTATTAAATTACTCGTTTGTTTTCTTCTTCTAAAGATCTCATCAATCGAAATCTTTATAGATTATATTTGTTACCACTAGCAACGAGAGAACATAGCCTTTTTTTTTGTTTATTTTAAACTAAAAACTTACGAACATGATTAAAAATTGTTGTCTACTTTTAAAATTTTTACTTCATCACCCACGTGAAGTATACCATGAATATCGGGAGCTAAATTTAAACCAAACATTGCTTTGACTCCATACACTTCAGGTTTCAAACGATAACTAAAATGAAAGTTTTTTTTTTTAATTTTGTATGTTTTTTAATGATGATACTTTTGTAAAATGGAATCACTGTTCTCTACTCTTCTCGTTGATGTTTCTCAAATACATGTACAAATACGACCTTTTCTTTTGACAAAGAGAGAAAAATTTAAGAAAAGTTTCAGAGTTCTTTTAAATACATCTGATCAACATTTTTTTTTCTCATTCTGATGGTATACTTGAATTCTATTCTTAAAATTCTAATTTGAAAAAAATTGCGACAGATTTGTTGTCAAAAATTTGTTTTTCAACATGTGGAAATGATTCTGATCTTTTCTTCTTTGTCAAAAGAAAAGATTCGTGTACCTCATCGAGAAAAATACAAAAAAACAGCGATCGTACGAATAAAATTTACATTTTAAAAAATGAACTATTTCAAATAGGCTTTGTTTTAAATATTAAGAATTCTATCTTAAAATCTGCAATTAAGCAAAAATATAAATTTGTTTTTACTCTGTCTAGCGGTAAAAAGACGAATTCTTTTTTCACATATCTCTCAAGAGAAAACGGATGCTCAAAATATTTTTGCTCATTGTACAAAAAATTACTTTACCTTCTCAACGTCTTCCACGGTTCTTGCTCTGGATCAGTTATACCCGTTTGTTGATTGACAGTTGGTAATAGACATCTGAAGGATAAAATGCTTCTATTGGTTTTAGTTAAGTTATGAATAGGCATGCACCAGTTAAAAACTGATGTTAGAGCTTCCACGAAAATTGTTATAGATCGCCTGTAAAGAATTACTTAGAGTCGTTAAACATCTCATTTTGTAGAATGTTTGCTCTAGAAAACTCAGCTATGAAAAAAACTTGAAATTATTCGTAACAAAAATGTGGCATTCTAAAATGCACTAAAGTTAAAATGTTTGAAGTTTTTTTTCTAAATTTAGTACATTTTAGAATGCTCATATTTGTGTCATAGATAACTTTGAAATTTTTCTACTTTATATAGGATTATAGCCCAAACATTTCTCTACAAAATGAGACGTTTCACGACTCTGAGAAATCTTTTATAGGCGATTTGGAACAATTTTCCTAGAAGTCCAAACAGCAGTTTTTAACTGATGCATATTCAGTTAATAAGCATGAAGTTGTATTACCTACGACACTGAGTAACCCAAGTCATTATTGCCCCACCGATTTGAATTTGTCTCCAGTAATCCTAAAGAGAATTGAAAAGTTATACACACATTCGTTTGGATTGTTTTGTAATACCTTATATTAACATACTTCAGCATATGGAGCCTGAACATTTTGAACAATAATATTTGGTCTAAAATTATATATTGTAATTGGTGTTTTTAATCGCTGATTTAAATCATTGAATGATTCCATTGTGTCTAAATGAAATGGGCTTTCATCATGATACGAGGCAACATCATAGTCGCGCGCTGAATTTGGCGGATCAATAATATCTTTGCATATTCTTCCTTCAAATTGATCATCAAAATAAACTAAATCTAAGTCAGGTGTTTCAAGAAAAGTTGATAGCCAATTTGAAACATCAATGTCATATTTTTTTCCATTTATTTTGGCATCCCAACATCTTGAAAAAAGTAAACAGTATTAAGTTGTATATATAAATAAAATTTCTTACATGCATTCAATTATTTCTTTTGGCGGTGGATTCATTGATATTTTCAAATCTTTTATGCCCGGTGCTTTAAGTATCAAACCATCACTGACAAATGATGGTTGAATAAGGGCCATTTTTGGTTGTTGACGTTGAGTTAATTGTCGTCCATTTTTCACCACCATCCAACGTCTAATAATACATTAAACCATATATCTACACAACTTTCTTATCGATCGTTGAATTCAAAAAGTATACCTGTCTGATAAGCATGGATTAGAAGGCAAAGATAAACCATAACGAGTTGATAAAGCTTCTTGAACTTTAATACCAGCACATGATTTAACAGGATAAATAATTAACTCTTTAACAGTCGGATTATTGTTCATTGTGCACGATAGATAAATGAAAAATACAAAATTTTAGTCTCAGCTTGAAAACAGTCAATGTTGAAAATGTTTCATATTGCGTTTAATACAAAAGCATGAATATTTTTCTTTCTTCTTCTTTTCATATCGCTACTCACATGGCGTTGTTCTCTATCAATCTTTTTCATAGGGAAAAATATCGTTTGTGCACGATTTGCTATTTTTCGCGCACTAAGAAATCTTTAGACTTTTTTGTGCACGGTTACAGAAAAAGGTGCACGGTAAAAAGACAGAAATGTGCACGGAGACGTTTTTGTGCACGGTTTTTCAAGGAGTAAAAGATATTTTTGCGTTTTACATGCCGATGACCTAAACAAATAGGATAATCTACGAACAGACGTCTCGTTTAATACAAATGAGACTTATTGACTGAAATGTATGATAAATCTTAAACATTGGTGTAGAGTGAAGTTCAACTCTTTAAGAATTAATTCAACTCACACTGTCCTCAATACACTCAAAATATTTTTTCTTTAAACAAAAATCATGTCAAGAAAAGTTTGGAGTTTTGTTAATAAATATTTACAAAAAGATGATTTGGATGTTTATTTAAATCATAACAAAGTATCAAAATTTCGAACGGAAAATGTGAAAGATGGCATTAAAGTTACATATCGTTGTTCGTCATGTAGAAAATATTCTGAATGTAGTTTTCAAGTTCGTGTATTATTTAATTCTCAAAATGAAATAATTGTGTCGACAAGTGATACACATAATCATAAAAAAAAGAGATGATACAACTCGTGCTCCAAGTCCTGTTTGGGATAGAGTATATATAGTAAGTCGCTCATGAATTTGATGAGAATACTAAAAGAGGATTTTTATTTGTAAATAGCTACATGCTATATTTTTTGGCTAAAAAGAATTTAATAATCAAACGACAGGATACAGATCAACCTCGTTTTTCAAAAACCGTGCACAGAAACATCTCCGTGCACATTTCTGTCTTTTTGCCGTGCACATTTCTGTCTTTTTGCCGTGCACCTTTCTGTAACCGTGCACAAAAAAGTCAAAAGATTTTTTAGTGCACGGTTTCATACGTTTATATTATAAACGTGACAATTGTTCTTGAATGATTTAAAATCATTCAAGAACAATTGTCATGATTAATCGTTCGTGATTTTTAATTTTTGCTTGTTTTAAAATATAAAACTCTTATAACATGAAGTCTCCTTGAGAGACTCTGAATGTATCTGCTATATTTATCTGCTTATTATAACAGAATTGCTTTCGAAAATTTTTCATCAGAAAAGTTTAGATATATAAAGTAGATTATTTCATAGCGAACAGTGGTCTAAAATTATTTCTTTCGCATGTGGAACAGAGAGTTTCGAATGGGTGACAAAAATAGCGGACGCTTATTTTAACGAAATAATGCCATCTTAATAAAATACCCGATGAATTCTACTAAAGTTACATATTTGCAAAAGACTAAGGGTTTATTTTATTTTTCTACTAGTGAGAACGGTCTCAACTCTTTATTTCAATAACAAACATAAAAGTTACAAAAACCTGTGCATTACAACTAAGCTACGCATACGCATACGTTGGTTTTGAAATATGAATATTTTCTACTAGAATGAACTTCTTTTAACAGATCAGCATTGGATAAAACATGTGTATGAAAATCTGTACAATTCATATTCATATTTAGCATTTCAATCAAGTTTTATCGACAACTCATATATCGCACACGTCTGATGAGTTAAGATACGCGCGCGCGCAAGGGAGAGTGATTTTTTGTTGATGACTCGAATCTCACAATAACTCTACTTGCTACAAATAGTCCAGACACCTATATGACAATGATTTTTATAGCAAGATATGCTAAAAAAAAGACGCAAATGTTTACAGATTAGAGGATGAAAGCGATATATGGGATGAAAACTTTGCTACTTAAAACTATGATGCTTTTCCTAACTAATAGTTTTTAACGTATTTTTGCTCAGAAAATATTTAATTTTAAAATTTTATTCGAAATTATTCCACTCGACAAAGGTATTGAATTGTTCTCAGCAAGTAGACAAAACAGGTATGTTGGTCTGTATGGATTTTTGCGAAAAATCATCGTCCAATTTCTGACATAAAAGTGGCTATTAATCCAAATTATGCTCGATATTTGATAATGAAATGGTTGTATT